TCATATTCAAAGTGCGTACGATCAACAAAATGTAGCTAAAAAAAAAACCATTAATGAAATGAATTAATCATAGTATATTGCTATTAGCAACGAAACTTGGTCGAGATTGGGAGGAAAAAAACGATAACTCAGAATATTTCGGAGACAATATTATAATTATAATTAATTAATATCAAGTTTTTAGTATAAAAACAGCGAAAATATCTCAAGTTTTCGAGAATATCTTTTAGTTCGACATCTTAAATCATTTTAACAGTTGGAGCAGTAATTAAATTTGGACACAAAAAAATGAGAAAAATAAAATAAAAATTGAGATCATCGAAAATTAGTTCAAAACGAATAATTCAACGACGGGGAGCAATTTCGATCCATGGAGAGAGCGAAAGAGAGAGAGAGAGAGAGAGAGAGAGAGAGAGAGAGAGAAAGATGGAGACAGCGCAAGAGAGAAGATAACAGTGTTCCAAAACTAGCCACTATAATGTAAATGATGAGCATTTCGGTATGCGGTTCACCTTTCCATCGATCGTGGGTGTTTGTGGCGAATGTAATTTATTAAAAATTAAAAACGAAACAAAAACAGAAAAAGACTTTTAATTATTATGATTTTTTGTTCTCTGTTTCATTCGCGTTCGTTCGGCAAGTGTTTTTTGACTTCTTCTTCTTCATCACCATCGTACTTCTTTTACATTCGGTATCATTTGCCATGTAAAACAGTGGAAAGGCATAAATATGAACATCAGCCACCGCTCGTTGTATAGCAATAAGGCAATGGCACAACACATAAATAAACAAAGCGAATCTAAATGCCAAACGTATAGAAGGCACTTTTGCCTCACATCCGGTTCACACGCACTAAATATTTATTTGTTGTTGTACATTAACGTTGTTGCTATTTTAGTGAGCAAAAGAGCGAGCAAGAGTTAGGGAGAGGGAGAGAGAGAGTGATAGAAGAAGAAGATGTGTTATACTATTGCGCGATTGTACAACGCACATATGTATACATGCATGTTTTAACTATTACCTTGCCGATGTATTTCTTTTGCTGCTGCTGTTGCCACTACTACTACTTTTTTATTATTATTTTTTTTTTCATCGGTAACCTCAAGCCGATGGATTGAAAAAAAAAACACCAACCTGAAAAAATAACAACACATAGAATTAACGTTTCTTGGATTTAATTTACACACGGTTCATATTTTATGCCAACGATACCAACAGATTGGCGCACTCTACTCAATGAGAGAGTGCAACTACGATTTTTATTCTAATTTTTGCTATGTGCAATCATACTTTTGCACACTTTTTCATCTTTCTTTTGTCAGCTTTTCGCTTTATTTTTCGTTTGCAGATATGTGCGGTTTCTATTGCACATTTTGTCATTAATTCCATCGCCGTCGATGGCATGTCTTCATACAATTCAATCATATTAATTACACTTTACAACAACGTATAGATAAATCGTTGCGGTTTTTAACGCTTTTTATAGGTTTTTTATTCATCAACAAATCTGACGAGAGTACTTTTCATCATCATCACCACAATACTAGTCGTTTTAAAGCCATAAATACGGTTAAACTCTTCTGGGGCCATCATTTAAACAGCTCTTTCTTTAAATTCAAATTAGATGAATCCAATTTAAATGAGCTTTTTATTCAAAAAAAGAAATCCATGAGTTCAGTTTTATCTTCTTCAAAGATTAGTCTTTGTTTAATTTGGACAGCAATAAATATAAATTTGCTAATCAATTCAAAATTATGTCTTTTACAGCAGAATGAAAAGGTTTTAAATTATATACAATAAAACAAATAACACTCAACTAAATCAAAAATCGCATTTTAACGAAAAAAAATGTCCCGATGTAAGTACTTTTTCAAATTATAGATACTTTGTATAAAATATTCTGATATTCTAAACGTTTCGGCTTTTAAAAAAAAGTGGGCTCATTAGAAAAAAAGCAGATAATTATAGATTTACATTTTTAAAATTTTACAGTTTTAGCTAAAGCCGACTGAGATTGAAGTTGTTTTAAGTTGATTTGGCTGATTTTTCATTCAATCCTAGTATAAAAAAATATAACTTCATTCAACTTCAATCGCAGTTGACTGTGTAGACGACTTCAGTTAACAAAATTCGATTTCAGTCGATTTCAGCTAAACAGTCAGTCACTTTTTTTTCACACGGGATTCTGGTTTGATCAATGCATCCCATAGAAAATTAGTGATTGAAGAAGTATGAAAAGCAATAAATATGCTTATAGCCATTTATTTTATTGACTATTACTCAGACATTATATTGGGATATTTTCAGACAGCTGATTCGGCTCAGAGAGCTTATGTCAGGCGCTGAAATGGAATATAAGCAATAGAAGTGACTGTTATAGTGATGAACGCAATGTAATGCAATTTTTATAACAATCACATAAACTGTTTTCACTCCATTTCAGCCTAACGATTTTTTACCCCTTTCGTTCGAATCAAAAGGTGCCTTGTCGGATTTTATTTCTCTTTGGTATTTTTTTTGTCCAATGCCATAAGTCGAACATTTCGGTGCCATTTTTTAGTTATACTGCCGCAACACTGTTACTATGATTTGGAAATAATGTATGTGCCTACAATGTGTTTGTCTAATCCACAAAAATATCCAATTATACTCAGAGAAAAATTATCGGTTGTTTTGAATCGGTTAAAATCCCAGCGGAATGATTTTTTGGTTTAAATTAACCTAAAAATCGGATGAGACTTTGAGAATTTTAATGAGATTTGAATCTGTATTTCAAATCTGTAATCGATGAAGGAGTGCGAAAATGTCCTTATTTTCGCGATATTTCCATCGGAAATGCGAGAAAAATTGATCCGAAGATTTCACTCAGTTGTAACACGCATTCATGTTGATCACATCGTCGCGTGAAAAAAAGAGACTTCATTTTGCTATCACCGAATACAGACTTGAAATAGAGATCTCATTAAAATTCTCAAATTTTAAGTCTCATCCGATTTTTTGGTTAATTTAAGCCTAAAAACCATTTCGCTGGGATTTTAATCGATTCAAAACAACCGATCATTTTTTGGTGAGTAGCAAATTTGTAATAAGTAATGGAAAAAAAAATCCAGAGAGAAACAAAATCTGACGATCCTACGAAATTCAAATGTACCTAAAGGAAATGTGATTAATTTATGCAATGCATATATCTAAAGTTTCTTATTTTAACACTAAAGGTGGAACTCAAAAATGGAGCGAAAGAGAACCTTTTCAAATATTAAAAAAAAAGGTATCTTAATAATTCCATATGAAATTTTGAATAACTTGTGGATATTCTAACATGATAAAAATGTGTGAATAATAGAAAATGCAAAAGTTTCGGACGGTCAAGATATAGGAAATAACGAACTTCAGATTTTCCTCAAATGATTCATTCGAAATTGCGGTTAAAATATGTTGGTTGGCTGGCATTCGAGTGCGCGAGCCTGAATTAAAAGGTGTGGTGTGACTAGTGGCTGCTTTCGACGGCATTCTGCTGTCACTGTACATATTCATGTAGATCTGTGATTCGATGTTATTCACATTAACATTGAGTTATTTAAGCCGTTGTTGCTGCTGTTGCTCACAGTTAGTGTTTGATTCTCCCTCTCTTGTATCGGTTGTGTGCGCTCGCCTGAGCCACTCTCACCACATTTTTTTATTTGCACAACTACGACGACAATGTCGGCTTTGTGTATTCGTATTGGCGATGAATCAATCGAATTGAAACAAGAAACGAAATAAAAATAAAAAAAAGAAGAGCAAGAACGCTTATCGATGATGAAAACAGCTTCGAATGTCCATTTAAAGTCGCAAAATAACACCGATGCGCCTGTTTGTGGAAAAGAGATACACACACGAGACAAATATAGTGAAATCGCACAATTATACAAATACTGTCTCACATTTGAACCGATTTAATTTGTTGTTGTATTTGTATTTACATTTTGCGATCGTGTGATCATCTGCTTTGTGTGTATGACTGTTATCTCTCCCTCCTTTTCATCGGTCTTCCCTTATAGATAAAAAACATGCTGAGGTGCTGGTATATATGCACAAAAAACGCGATATTTAATTGAATAGTGACGATTTTGCGCATACACCTGTGTACAATATCAATTTTTATTAGAATGGGATGCAAATCATGAAAACAATCCGAATCTATCATGTGCTCGTACAGTTGAGTCATACTATCATCGGATGCTATCAAAAACAAATTTGTTTTCTATTTACACCTTTATTTCAGTGTTTCAAATCGGAATTTCATCATATTGTTTATGAAACTGTTCGCGTTCCTTGTGCTATAAGCTCAATTGCTGCAAACTATTTATAGTTGTTTGTATTTTTTGCGTTTTGTTTTTTGTCGCGCACTTCACAGCACTCAATATGGGAATAATTGAAAGAGTTATTGTACCTTCTGATCAACAGATCACACGAAGAGTGCTCAAGACACTGAGAGCACTGTCATCTGTACAGTGTACAATGTACATAATAACTCACACAAACTTCCACCGTTTGTGCACAGCCACACGCACACACACAGACACACACACATACAAATACAATTAAATGAATTTGGTTTGAGCAGTGGCAGCGCAGCGTGCATATCGCGTTGTCGCGCTCTTTAACTATGTACCCGTGTGTGTTGCACATGTAATCGAGCGAAACAGACAAGAAAACACACAAACGGTGAAGAGTGAATACGATACGATGAATGACGAGGTGTATGCGCGTGTGAACGCGCCAAAACGAGACACAATAATATCCAACAATGTGAACTAGCGTAAAGAGTACCAAACGAATGTGACTCTTGCTTCTCTTGTACACACTCACCGTGTCGAGTGAGTGAGAATTTCAGGCGCGTTTCACCTTACGAACATTTTTGAACCGTTTCTTCAGTCACTTAATGATAATCAGTTAAGTTAAACGTATTTTCCATTCCCCGTTTAGTGTTTTCTGGTTATTTGCCGTTTTATCTATTTTCATACAGTTTTCATTTAAATAAATAAATTCGTTTGGCCGTTTCGTGATCAACTGTTGTTTTTTTTTCGTACTCTTTACATTTTTTTGCAAAAGTTTTTCCTTTTTCGCGGCAGTCTATTTATTTTGGATATAAAAAGTGCCAAATTTCTATGCCCATAGGAGAGGAAATTAAGGGCTTGCAAAATTTCCACGATAACCAAGAGACAGAGATCCTGCATGGAAATTTCATGCTAATGTGTTGGATTTGATTTTTGAAAACATAAAACAAAAAGTGCGCTGCATTTAATAAAGAAACTAAACAATTATCGCAAAATTTTTAAACTTTTTTTGTCCACCATCCGTTCCACATAGCGAAAATATAGAGAACAGGCTGCTCGCATAATAACGCGAATAACTCATATTATAAAGGTGATTGATCAAGAAAGTAACAAGAAAAAAAAATCGAAAAGTGTTTACTTCCCGTGTGATCATGTGTCCGCGCTGGTGCAAAGCAACGCATGAATATGATTCGATATAATTGTTGAATTGATATTTTCAAATTAAGCGATCATTTTTTTTTTTCATCATTCCATTGGAGTTCGATTCGTAGCCATACATATCGGCCGGCACGTTTTTGTTTCATGTGCCCTGCGTACTTTATTTTTGCTCTATCTCTCTTATTGTCAGCGATCACAGCAGTGAACAGAACAGAGCAATCAACAAACGTTATCAACAGAAAACGCTAGTTTACTTGAACATCTTCAACTATGATAGACCTAAACAGACAGCCAAAAACATCATGTGATTAAGATTATAACTGTAATATCAATCGTATGTTCAGATCTCTCGATTTCGATTAAGCACTGACTCGCGTTTGGTGGTGATTCGTTTATATTATTCATTCGAAATTGATGTTTTTATTTTTTTATTTTATCGAAACGAATTTGTGAAAACTTAACAAAAGAAATGTGAATGTGGATAAGATTAAGAATTTTCACATTTTATGAACTTATTTATAAAGTAAATTAAAAAAATTACATCACACGGGGGGCAACAAAAGACAAAAGGGTGACTTAACTATTGTGTACCTACAATTTTGTGCATCAAAAACACGAACAATTTAACATTTGATCAACACTTGTGAATTCATTTAGAAGAAAAAAAAAAAAACACTTTTTTGTTTATACATTAGTGCGTGGTGAAAAGCAACAATTAAATTTGGTACCATGGATTCGGATACTGAGAAACACGACGGTTACAATGCATACAGGTTGGTGTTTATTAACATTCAATTTTTTTTAATCCATACTTTGTTTGTCGCTCACACACATATGAGGGTTGCATCTCCTTTTTATTGGTGAAATACACAACACAATAAATGGAAGTACGGTTTTATTCTTCTTTCTTTCTGTTTCAATCCTAAGCATGTGTATGTCGTGTGTGAAGTTACAAATGATAGTATAAAATGTTCCGTTTTTTTTTTCGCATTCACACGATCAACGATACTGATGATATAAGGAAAGAAAAGAAAATAGATGGAAACTCACTGAAGCATATCGACCACCAATTTCAGAGGAAGTGCATGGGATTGTGTCGATATACCTGTTGCACGGAGCGTTCAAGGGTTCACTGTCCATTTGTTACATTTATGTAAAATACCCATTTTTAGAAATGAAGAAGGTGTTTTTCGCCTGCGGGCTTCATATAAAAAACTCTCCGCAGTTTTTAAGACGGGTTTTCTTTAGATTTGAATGAACCACGGAACTACATTATTTTGAATTAGATTAATTCCATATCTTTCTTGCAAAACTGAAAAAAAAAATTATGGGATAAAAAAATAAATAAAGATAAACATATTCCAAGCAAAACTCTCTTCATAAGAAAGATTAAAAAAGTTGGGAAAAAACAAACTCTTTTCACTCCAAATCCTTGTTCACTCGGCAAAGCAACAGGTGGAGTCAATTCAATACTCGACATGATCAGTGCGCATGTACCGACGGCATTTACAACGCAATAAAAGATCCGGAATAACTAAAGTAGATTCAAGAAGTTTTTTCATTTGGAAAAAATACATTTCATCGAAAATTCAACAATAGAAAACATTTCAATGATCATTTTATGGTTCAATTTCATGGTTTTATGGTTCAATCGCATTCATTTGTGTAAATTGTATAATCAACCAGATTGCTTAGTCAAAAATATAGAAAATGTCAATAAATATTGGAGTATTCAAAGCATTTATATAGGTGAAACACATGATATTTGAAAACGGCAAGCTCAATTTTCAAAAGAATGTTTATTATCAACTTTATATGTGATGTGTCAACCAAATTTTAAGTCATTTTAATATCAAACAAGCTACAAAAATATCTCAAAATATGCGAATATTTGTTCAATATTGATCGATGTATCGGTTAAAATATAGGCGAATATAGGAGATGGCTTGAAAACATCTGATGTCTTCTAGCCACTATAAGAGATCTGGTCACTTTTTCTCTAGAAATATAAAATAGGCGAATCGGTTGTAAAATTAAACTGAATAAATGTAACTCATGGTGCGCAACACATATTGTGAGATGAGACAGACACACAAACACAGCAAAAAGAAGAGTGCAAAATAACAATTCGATTCGATTTCTCGGTAGCGAATTCGTTTGTTTATCGATTGATCAATATGCATGCGATAAATACGTTTTAAATGCATAAATATATAAACTTATATGTATTCCATCGTGGTCGCAATTCTGAGGTAGAAACAAGCGTAGCAAAGAAAAAAAAATCGAACAAACTTTTTAAATTCAATAAATCAACGTGAAATGTGACACATATCCTTCACATAACATCAGTCGTTGTGTTGCTTTTTTGTGAGTGCTGCTTATTCACGGTATTCTTGCCAACCTTTTTTTTCATTCGCAAAATTTATTCTTGTGGATTTTATTAGGCTTTTTTTGTTGTTAGTTTTTTTTTTTGTGATCCAAATATCGATGCGAACGATCGATTTGACTCCTTTTTTCCCGTGCCCGTACAAAATTGCATCAATCAAATGGTCAATTCGTTTTTTTCTCGATTCGTTTGTTATTTGATATGGTTTTTTTTCTCTCTCGTTTATTTGGCCAGACCGAAAAATTGATTTTTCTGGGAATACACAAGATTTATGTGCCGTGCATTTTGGCAAGAAAAAACTGCAATCAAAGAAAAAAAGTGGACACACACAACAAACAATCTAGATCAAAATCGTATGATGCGTTTAAATGTGTCATATATTAGAATGCATATTGGAATTAACATTCTTAGCGTTCATTTTTTTACTCGATTTTATTCATAAATCTCGTCCTAAGAAATGTAAACTTGGTTAAATGTAAACTTGTAAACTCTATATTTGTTTTAGACAGTAAATGATGGATAGAACATTTTTGTAATTTATCAAATTCTGTTTGTTTTGCTACCGATGATTTATTGAAGTGCGCTTTTACGTAGAGATTTTGAACACACACATAAAAAAAGGTCAACGTTGAGTCAACTACACAAACGACGTTAAATGGCTTGTGAAAAAGAGCCCTTTTAAAAGACACCGTTCAATTATTTTTCAGTTCGCAAATGAAATCGTTTGATTTCAATATTATTTGATATGACGATATTTTTACGATACGTTTTATTATGAGAATAAATTATATATTTTTTTAAATCAAAACTAATGCAATTTCTTATTATTTTTGAACGTTTAATATCCAAATTCGATAAAATAAAAGCCGAAGAATTCCCGGTGGAGAAATCCCATGGAAGTGTTAAACACACTGTGACAATAAAATAGTTTTAAAAAAATTATTTTCTTCTTCTCTTTTTGTTGTTGTTTATATGATATTCGGATATATTGAGCATGGCGCACACTCATGTTGTGCCAAGTACATAATCAAAGTTCATGTTTAATATTCTGATTTAGCAATTCAAATTAACCGAAAAGTATGAGGCGCGCGCAGCGACTGCGAGTTGTGTGTGTTGAGTTTTTTTTTCGTCCATCCGTTCGTTCTACTGCTCGTTCGATTCAGATTGAAATCTTTGCTATGATGTTTTTCCTTAATAAGTAAAATTAAATGAAAATTTCTTTAAAACAAATGTTATGAATCTTCAAAAAGGAAACCAACATCAAAAATATACATGTTTATTTGTATCATAAAAAATCACAAATGTTTTGTAAAGAAAAATCATGTTCACATTCGTGACCATCAAAGAAAGGTGACTCGGTTCAACAGATAGTTCACAAAGTGCTAATTAGATTTGGCAAAATGATTCAAGTGTGTTGACACAAACGATGCGAGCGCGACACTTACGAAATTTGACGATGAAGTTCATAATATTATTCAAACTACACACGAACACAAAAAAAAAATACATTTCCGATCGCTATAAATGTTTCCGTTTCAATGAAACAAACAAACAAACGAAAATAACAAATACTCAATATTAACACCACAGAGCCGAGTAAAGTGAACGTAGAATAGAAAAAGAAGAAGAATAAGAAAAATGAATATACAATAAAAATGTGCATACGTCCAGTACAATATGGAAGTTGTCAGAATTGTTGTGGTGCGCTTCAATTGAAAACAGCGTGGCGTTTTGTGCATAATATGCAAATACATGATCAGACGAACCGAACCGATCACGATCTTCGATATAGTTGGATGACGTGCAGTTATTTTGATGGTCAAAAAGTGCTAAATACATAATAAATATATAGATAATTAAACATCCAACTGACAGAAATTGACTGCGGTAAATCGTAAAAGAGAGTGTGTGACAGAGGAGAAACGGAACGCCTTAAGTTGTTGTTTTCTTTTTCACAGTGGCAAATAGCCAAAAATGATTAATTCATCATTTTCCCATAAAGTGGTAAGACCGCCCGCCAGTTCAAATCTGTCAATATTTCACGGTCCACATAAATGACTTGTGTGATTTAACTCTTCTCATGTCGATAATTGATCCAACAACAACAGCAAAAAACAATGCGCCCATTTCCTCTTACCACAACTCTTCTTAACTAATTCAACCTTTCTTTTCTCTCCTCATATTGACTATTTTATTTTTATTGTCGGTTTGTTTGTGTTTATTTTCGTTCGATCAATGAAATGAAATTATGCTGAAAATAACAAGAAGAAATAATATAAAATTCGTATAGAAAAGTGATTGAACCTTTGTAATGCGTTTATTTTTCGGTTGTGTGTATGTGAATTTTATTTTTATCCGTTTTCTGTTTTGGCGTTTATTTTTGGTTTTTGGTTGCGAAGCGAAAAAAAACCCGAAAAGAATTATGTGTGTGCGTTTAACCCTAAATATTGGCCTAAGACTCAACAGCACACCGTATAATTTTATATTCATTCGTTGTCTTTGACGTTTAAGTGTCGAATTCGCGGTTCAATATTTTTTTTTTTTGTATGAGTCTCTTGTTTTGATTACACACTCACCAAAAACAGAGACGACTTTAATAATAATTTTATGTTTTCTTCAGTTGTCTTTTCTTTATATTTTGCTTTTGGTTAACTGTAAATAAATTTATGCGTAATTCGTTTCACATCTATACATACATGCTCGATGAGAAACCCAACCCAAAATTCAAAATCGTTCGATGATCATGTCTTTTTCTGGACGAATTTAGTTTTTTTTTCTTTAAATTATAATTATGACACACTGATGTATAAGATCGTGGATCACCCACAAAATAAAAGATTCAATTCAAATGTGATAACTCAATTTTTATTCACTTCGTTGGAAGCAGACAAATGAATCGATTCAATTCCAAGGTGAAAAATGAATCGTTTAAAACAAAATTACAATTTATTTATTCGCAAATTTGTGCAAAATTAATACATCAAGTAAAAAAGAGAAAAAAGTGTCTAGAAAACTCTGGGAATAACTTCAATCGAAAATAATCTAAAACCTATTTAAAAAAAAAAAACAATTTTTCAAGCAAAAAACTAACTTCACCGAAAATTGAATTTTTAATCTGAAAAGGGAGATGTGCGTTTATGAAGAACCAATTAAACTTACCGATTTTGGTTGCACTAAACGATAAATAGTTTGAGATCTAAATTAAAGTTCGATTCAAAAAGTGCTCATGCTTCTGTATGACAGAAATAAAATGATTGTGTTTCCTTGGTTTTGTTCACTCTGTGCTCATTGAGATGATACAAACTGATTGAGTGATTTTCAATTTTATATTTAATCTGGATGTGTGTTATAAAAAAAAATCAAAAGAGAAATAGGTGCAGCTCGTAT